TGTTATAGAAGTGGTGGGAGGTGGTGGAGGGGGACAGAGGAGAGAATGGAACGTTTTGAAGAGATTACGTGTGTCTGGAGCGCTGTTGATCTTGTTGTGGAAGTATGAAGATTTGGCAGTATGGACTTCAGCAGAGAAAGATGAAAGCAAAGACTGATACATACTTAGGTCTGACGGATCTTTTGATTTGCACCATTTTCTCTCAGCTGCCCTGAGTTTGGTCCGATGTTCACGAAGAACATCGGATAACCAGGAGTTCGAGGGGGCAGCCCGTGTTGGCCTGGAGGAGAGAGGACAAATATCATCTAGACAAGAGGTTAAAGTAGAGCATAAAGTGTCAGTTGCTGCATTCACATCCAGAGATGAGAAATGGGTAGGTGAGGGAAGAGAGGAGGATACAACGGAGGAAAGTTAATGTTAATGTTGGAAATAGTTGCTGCTTAATATTTTTGTAAAAAAAAATTTTTTGTAAATAGTTCAAAAGAGTAGCATTTATTTAAAAAAAATTTTTTTGTTAATATTATAGATGTCTTATGTTACTTTTGATCAAATTAATGCATCTTTAAAAAAAACTTTTGAATCATACTTTAAACTTAAGTTTATTGCATACATATAATTTGAAGTACAGCTTTGATGCAATAGTACATTTACATTTAGTGTATTTTATTTTACATTTAAAATAGTAATAAGTAACAGTACCACATTTTGAAAAGTATAAAAACCAGGATGCTAAAATAGTACTGCAATATTATTCATCAAACATATAGACATTTGTAAACAAATAGACAGATTTCTGTAATGATTCTCTCACAGTGACTTGTTGCAGGCATGTATATAAACAACTAAAAAAGGTGTTTATAATTTTCATATTTGCTTCCAATCTTATCATTAGCTCCTGCGTCCATTTGAGTTGAGGGGGAAATCTGCTATTCTTCATTCTCCAAAAACTCTTCCCTGTCTGTGTGCAGGTAAAGTTCCTCCTAATCTCTCTCAGGGGGTTCCTCCACTGCTGCCTAACCAGTACATCATGGGACCCGGAGGTCTGCTACCTGCCTATCCGGTAAGCACCCTCATCCTCTTAATTCAAAACAGATCAGCTTTCAGTCCTCTGGGAAGTATTGAAGTGTATGTGGAATTTCAGGATTTTTGTGTTTGTTTGTTTGTTTTGGGTTGGGTGATTTCATGGTGTTGCTTTTATGTGCTCTTGTATAGTGGTGTGTTATTGTGTGTGTGTGACTTGTAAAGTGTTTTTGATGTGTATTTTTTTTATGTGATGAAGTATAAGCATTAAGTCTGTGAATACTGAAATACTGCATATTGATTTCAGTAACATTTATAGTCTGTGAAGTGCTGAAAGTTCGCCTTTGTGTTGTACAGCAGATTTATGGCTATGAAGACCTCCACATGCTCCAATCCAGACTACCAATGGTGAGTCTGAGCCCATCAAATTGTCTTTAGCGCTGCTGAGCTTGTTTTTTCTTGATTATTAGTTGACTGACAATGAGAGCAGAATGGCAGATATAGATCTATGATATGAGACATAACTGCTGATATTCACACATATACAAGGCTGTTGGTAGGAAACATTTTGAATGGGAGAGCTAATATCTGGTAATGGGCCAAGCATGTGCAGTTATCAGCTCAAAAAACCCAAAGACTAATCGGCCTGACCCAAGCTTGTTGCTATTATTATGTAATCGCCTGATTATGGTTATTTGGTTATGAGCATTTGAGACAATATGACCATTCTAGATTCCAGTCAATTTAAAATGGCCACCCAAATAAAAATAGAGAATATAAGCAAATAAAATAAAAATGCAGAAATCAAAGCTCTTCCTTTGTGTAAAATAATTGGAAAAATTATTAAAATCTAGTTTAAAGTGAAGAATTTAGGACTTAAGAATATCTTGTGGTTGTGGTATATAATTCATGCAGTGTAATTATAATAACATTATTATCAATAATACAGGGTTCCCAAGCTACTTGAAAGTACTGTATTGACCCGAATATAAGACAATGTTTGTTTTTTTCTTGGAAATACATCTGAAAAAAACGCGGTCGTCTTATATTCAGGGTCTAGACTTTGACATGTCAATAATTCACCCACAACAATAGGTGGTGCCAAATACACATAAAACGAGTGTGCCATGAAATACGTAATGTGTGTTGTAAAGATCGTGAGTAAAAACAAAAGAAAACCTTACAACTGCATGAGTCGTGACTGTCACGTTAGCCTGATGGGACTAAACTCCCTTTGTGATTTTAAAACGTAAGACAGTACCCAGATTTGAAGATTTAACTTCTACTGTTAATAAGATTTTGGTAGGCTATTATTAGATGGATAGCCTAAATGTCCTGATTCAGATGGGCTACCTGTTTTTGTTTTTTTATGGTATATCAAAAAGTGTATATTTTGTTAAAATGTGATTGTTGGTACATTTGACCAGTTTTTACCATACTTTCAAAACAAAAATTAAAATAGGAAAAATATGCAATATGAAAATAATTGAAGACAAAATGTGTTTTACTGAGAAAAAACAAGATTTGGTTTTTAAAAAGCCTTTTTCCAAAAGGTACATCTGGAAAAAGGGGGGTCGTCTTATATTCGGGCCAATACGGTACTTGAATTTCAGACATATGGATTCAAGGCCTGGAAAGTACTTGAAAACAAACATAGGTCCTTGAAAGTGCTTGAATTAAATTTGAAATAAATTGTTTATGCAGGGATTAAAGTTTTCCATCACTACGACGGATTTCCGTCAATTGGTGAAAAAATTAGGGGAAAAGAAACATGTAGTCCATTGTTGTTGTTGTTCTGCCGGCACACCAAAAATCATCCCCGCCACGGCTGCAGCTTCTCAGTGACAACATAGGGACGCCGCTCGCATCATTCACAGTCGGGTTATTAGCAGAGAACACAGAGCAGGACTTGAATTTCGGCGCGGGATTGCGGCTATTAATTACAATTGTACTCATTCCTGCAGGTTCCGCGCATATTACACGATGACAGATGACGGAACGTATCATTTGCACGTGCTTTTGAGTCTTGAGAACTCACTCGCGCGCTCATTTTCTGTGTGCCCACAGATCGCGATAAGGAGCGTGACCGCTTTTAATAGCTATTAAGGGAGTTTGCAAACGTGATATTGATTCAATACAACAGTGCAGTAAACAAGTACTGCCTGATTTTGCTCTATTTCTTTAACGAAAATAGTTCCAAATATAGTAACAACTAAGAATAACATTCTGAAGTGTTGTGAAATACATGAAGACTATTTTTATAGGGTTTATGGACGGATAAGTTGAGAGTGACTCTTGAAGGACCAGCACCACATCCTCTTGTACCACTGTTAGAAGAATTTATCTTCCAGAATCTGGCAGTAAGTTTTAGGAGCTCATTTTTGTCAGTCTCTGCAAGACAGACGTTTCAGGATAGGAGATGGACTAAAAATGAACTCCCAAAACTTACTGCAACATGGAGCTAAGGAGAAAATGTAGAACTTGAAAAATTGGAAAAACAGTTTAGTGAAAAGCATTTACAGTTTAAAAGCAAATAGAAAGTCCTATTTTTTTTATTATATTTTTTTGAAGATTTGCACATGTACAAGGTTTAAAATGCTCATGAAATATTTTCAAAAAATACTGACTTTTGAGCAGCTGCATGTTTGAGCTGCATTCCTAGGTCAAAGATGAAAAAATGGGATTTACAATAAAAAGTAATTTACAAAATGTTATTTATTAATGAGTAACGTATCTTTTGAGAGAATGTGCAAATGTTTTATGTTAACAGGTTTTACCATGTTATTACAACATTTAACCACTTTTTATTAATTTAAAAATTGAGAAATTTTCTAATTTAAATTTTGTACAAGAACTACAGCAAAAATCAGTTTGATGCATATTTTAATCAATATTTTAGAAATAGATTTTTTTTTTATCACCAGTACTGACTTCAATGAATTTCATTAAATTCCTTTGAACACAACTGCTCAAAACGGTCTAAATTTATGAAACCTACACATTCAAAACATTATTACTCTGATATTTTTAATGTAAATGTTAAGTGTAAGTGAAATGTTAAGTACTGTAAGGTCTTTCACGACACTACATATTCTGGGGTGTGAATTTGATAGGTGCTTGATATAAAATAAATGGTGCTTTAAAAAGTCCTTGAATCTGGTGTTCATGAAAGAGTGGGAACCCTGATAATATAATACATTAATATTATAATATACAGACAGAAAATCTGTAATTTATTATAATAAAACTAATTATATTACTACAATATTCAAGCTTTAATGGAAAGTGAGTGAACTTGTGACATTTAAAGTGGGCAAAAAAAGAAATATTTTAAATTTTCAATAAAATTAAATCTATCCTGTTGTATTTGTGCTCATGACCCTAAAGAAAATCATACAGACCTAATTTTTCAAGTTCATTGTCAATAAATGGCTGTGTATGGGTAATAAATGTACTTTAATTTTACGCCTCACTTCTTTCTGGGACTTTTCCAAACTCCCTGAAAACTGCTAAAATGGACGGAAAGCGAGGAAAAACAAAAAAAAAACACGGCGATACCGGTATTACCGGTGTTGTCACACATCGATTAAGAGCAGTGGGAAAATTTCCTCACCGTCACAACCCTACTTTATACAGAGTCGGAGTACCAGAAAGCAACAAGCTTAGAAAATGTAAAATATTTTATACTTTTAATGTAATTTCAGTCACAGTGAACACAACTTCACTGTCTTTAAGTATTATAATGCTGTTAATATGAATGCAAACACAAACATTGCTAAAATGGCAAGATTTCACACTTGTAAGCTCAGCTGTCTGGTGTGTTTTGTTCACGTAGGGTGGGCCAAACCAGAGAAGCCAGTCCAGCACCATGCAGCAGAAGACCCAGGTCAACAAGTCCAACTATGGCAGCTCCCCTTACTGGGGCAACTGAGTGCAGTCCACAGCGCAGGTGCCGTCCCGCACCCAATGACACGCCAATCAGAGCAGAGGGACGCCCGTACACACTACCATCATCCCCATCCTCCTCTCATGTTCTCATCTCCCCTTTTCAAAGTTTTGGCTGTTGTATGTAAAGTATATTTATGTATGTATTTATACAGTATATATGTATTGGTAGGATATGAAATGTGGTTTTTCTGCATTTTATTTTTGAAGGAAGTTTTTTTTCCCCCCTTTTTTTTTTTCCTCATTGCTAACTGGCTAAGAGGATATGATGACCGAGAAGTGATGAGAACATAACAGAAGGGTGAATATACTTGAAGCAGAGCAAGCATCATGATTCGAACATTGGAGCTTTTATTTGTATACATAACCCTAATAATGTATGTACATTACTGCTAAGCTTGATCACTTGACGAAGCCTTTTTTTTTAACTTTTGTATTTTGCTCCTCTTCCACTCCCTTCACCTGTGAATTTTTTTCTATCGAGGGGGAATTTAATTTCAATGCTTAATTTTGTTCCCTCTGCCCTTCATTTGTGACCCCGTCCCTTTCCCCCAAACCACCACCAAATTGGCTAAACGGTAGCATTTTAGATCAGATTTAATTTTAACATTGGTTTTACCCTTGTTGTCAAAATAAAACTGTCCAGTTTACTGTTTCAGCTTGATTATTCATGCGCACAGTGTTTGCACTCAAGCAGTAACATTGTTACAGCATTGTTCTTTTGAACTTTCTATTTGTGGAAAAAAATCCAATAAAAAGTATCAGGGTTTCCACAAAAATATGAACAGTTTCAAAACGGATGTTTTTTTTTCTTGACCAGCAAATCATATTCTAATCAAGCATATTAGAATGATTTCTGAAGGATCATGTGACACTGAAGACTGGAGGAATGGCTGCTGAAAAGTCAGCTTTGCCATCACAGAAATAAATTGTCTTTATATATTAAAATAGACAACCTTTATATTTATTTCTAGTAATATTCGACAGTATTACTGTCTTACCAGGCAGGTGCACGAATAGATCCCACTTGTTACTTTTTTTATTTTAGTTATTTAAATGTGGCCCCTCCCCTTATTAGACATCGCTTGTCAATCAATCACAGGCACTAAAGTTAAAGGGGTCATATGATGCTTTTTTAAAGATCATTATTTTGTGTATTTGGTGTAACAGAATATGTTGACATGCTTTAATGTTCAAAAAACACAATTTTTCAAATACTGTACATTATTGTAGGTCCTCTATGCCCCGCCTCTCTCAAACGCTTCGTTTCTACAAAGTCCCTCCTTCCGACAAGCGCAGTCTGCTCTGATTGGCCAGCTGACCCAGTGTATTGTGATTGGCCGAACACCGCAAGCACTCGTCGGAAATGTAACGCCCCTTACCATAATCGTGAGCTTCATCTTTCAAAATAAATGTAAAGACAGAGCCCGAAAGGGGAACAGAGTCGCGTGACAGACACAGTGATGAAGCTGGTATGTGTTTGCAGTACACAAGCCACTGTTAAGACAGCTGACTCCACTGTGATGTGACCCGCTCTCTCTCTCTCTCTGGCTCGCTCGTGCACACACGATGCGCAAAACTGCATTTGAACAGTCAATAGCAAATACTTAAACTAATAACAAAACAGTAGCTGATTCAGAAGCGCCAGATTGTCATAGCAAAGTCAGAATGACCTCCTCTCCTAGG